CAGACTATAACAAAAGGGGGCACACCAAATAACGCAGAGTAAAAATCATGACCTTACCCTCGAGAGTATACTTTGGTCTGCGTGGCCTTCCGTTCCCGGAACAGACAGGGATGATTGTAGGCCGAACAACGGTTGCACGGCTGTTTCCCATCACACTAGCATGAATGAGCATGGCTGGCCATCGAAGTGCACTGAGGCCAAGGTAGAGGCGAAAGATGACAAAGATGAACCCAGTACTTCACCAACCTTGGTCTTCTTAACTCTGCAACGATCGCAAGCCTTCAACACATGCTTGCGTTTGACACGAAAGACGCGCTGGTCATGCTTCTCATCTCCTAGTCCTGCGCGAGACTCGAGTTGCGACAAAGATGATACCGCAGCGAGATTGTAGATGGCGTCTGGGAAGCCTGGGATATGCGACTTAGGTCGCAATTTAGGCTGCCTCGACATCTTGCAGGGGAGTGCTGGTGTGCAGTCAAGATAGTAACAGAGATGAGGAAAAAGAACAATTGCGCACACGCTCAGAGGGACGGAACAGAGAAGAAGAGGAATGGAGGGGGAAAGAAGAAGGAGAATAAGAAGACAAGAGACGAGAGGGGGGTCTTGATAGTGATATGAGACCTGACTAAGAGATAAGTAGCAGGCTGCAGATGAGAGAGAAAGAAAAAGGAAAAGGAGGGGGAGGGGTAAGTAGATGATGAATGGCAGCTACTTGGAGCAAAGCAAAGCAGGCAAAGCAAGCAGGTGGGGTGCGAGATAATTGCTAGGGGTGCGAGGAAGGGGAGGGAGGGATGTGACAGCAGAGGAGGCTGAGAGGGCACGTCTTGACTTGTCTCTGAAGGAATTCAATCAAGTTGATATCATTTTATGCCAGCCTGCATATCGAATGCCCCGCACCTCCCTTGGACTCTTGCTACCCCACCCTCCGACAACAACAAGACTAGACGAGACGAGACGTATATCGCCTGAGAAACTGCGATGGTGACGTGGAAAAGCGGCCTGTCACGATATCAACCGGCACCGGTCGCTCGACGTCCTTCAGGCCGTTGTGGCTGTGGCAGCCTAGCAGGTACACCCAGGGGTCCCCGCATATCTGGACAGATACGCTTGACAAAGCCCTCTATGTTTTCGTTTGCTGATACAGGTGACCACCACCACTTCCCCTCCAATTTTGCTGGCGCGAAGACACGCCAGCAGTCATGCCTGTCGACGGTCCGAGCCGTCAGAACCAGAGAATGCCCATGGCACCGCTCATCGGCACTAGCCGGGCACAATCCTGGTCATTTGGGCAGCGAAGCGCAGAAATGAGCCTTCAAGCTGACCTTCCTGCGCCATGCCAGTGGTGGCCTTTCAGCATCGAGGGTGAACAATCAGGTACTCGCCTCGTCGCGTCATTTCTTTTGCGACAGACTTGTCGCTTCCGTATTCCGTATCTCTCCTACCCTTCGCCTGTCCTCTTGTTTTTTCTCTTGTCAGTGCTGCTGGGTGAGACATGGCCATAGCACAGGAGGACTGGGGCTGCAGTCTCAGGCAGAGCTCGGGGCCGATGAGGGAAACATTGATACCACAGGTCTGTCTGGCAGGCGCGTATCGAATGATTTGCCAGCTGCCATTGGCACACGGATGACCGGCTCACTAACACTCTGACTACCGCCCATGCAATCGACGAGCGCGTGCTTTTCGCTGAGTTCAGCGTTACGCCAAGGGCGATGAGTCGGCGTTGGCCCAATGGTGTGGGCTGTCACTTGCTTTTTCTTTTCAAATCTAACCTTTTTTTTTCTCTCTCTTCCCCTTTCCACTTTTTCTGCGTTGACTAATTTTTTTCTTCTTTTTCCCCTTTTCCCGCAGGTTTTCGGGCAATCACCTGCACAGGCATGTTCTGCTTGACTCGGTCTAGTAGTAAGCAAGAGACGTGCAGCACACTTAAAAATAATAATGTCAAGAGAAAATGAGCGCGGCAAAGTCGGGTGGCCTCCATCCAGTCAAGAAAAGCCGCATAATGCTTTTGTTCATCGGCAGAGCTAGTAAATCATTCTGAGCTTTGTAAGCGCAGTATTGTAAGTAGTCGGTCTAAAACAGGGTCCGGGGGTCTAAGTATTGCTAAGGTCCACTCCCGTCATATCAGCAAGGCCATTCATGGTGTGTGGCGTTGCTGTCATGCCGAAAATGATAGCGGCACGATAATGAGCCCTGTCAAAAGATCACCTGAAAGATAATAATAAAGAAAATAAGGAGAAATTGGGATGCCAATCTATTGAATGGATGCCCCGCCCCTGGTCACTGGAAGGATGCGTGCAATGGCATTGTTGGTGACAGAAGTGTAATAAACATTGAGTAAGCGTCAGCGCATCAGGCTGCAGTTGACTTGCAAGGTGCAGAGGGGTTGCACGGCGTGCGCTTATTGCATCTCTGCACGAGCTCGGGTCCGTCAGAGAGGGAATAGAAAAAAAAAAAAAAAGTATCCGTGCATGTTGACCTGTATCGGAAACGTAACTGAAGTCCAGCTACCGAAAAGGGAGCGGGAGAAAGAAAGAAACATGGCATGGACATGGATATATTCGAATTACATTTGATTAAAAATGTTGCTTCCACTATTTTCTTGCAGTATTTCTGATTGTTGTCACCTTCGGGCCACACATTGTGTCAAGGGAGTTGCCTGCCTCAGAGTGTTGATACGAGATCAGGCAAGCCCGGGCCACAGGGGATCCGATAACACCCTCAAGAGTTTTAGCAGGAGGACTAAGAGCAAGGCAGGAGGATCATTGATGTGATTTCCCCTCTTTCACCCGCGTTGAGTTGAGGGGGTCCGAGGATCCTGCGTGAGCGCAAGTCAAACCGCACGGGCGACTTGCAGGGAAAGAAAAGATCCGCTCACCTGCAGGGCCTTGGACCTGAACGGAGGGGTTATGGTGGTGGTGGTTATGGTGGATTTCTCCGTCTGCTTAACCTTGACCCCTCCAATTTGCCCTACTGAAAATAAACTTCCGTCAAGAATTGTTGAATCCAAACATCAGGAACGTCCTGGGGATAACTGTGGCGCAGGCAATGCGCGGGGCATTCAGGATAGGTCATCCTTGACTGTCACCCCTGCTGAAGGTTAATCTCAGTTTGCGAGCATCCCGTCGATCAAGCCTGGGCATCGTCCGGGATTTAGGCAGTAAACATCAGTAAGAATGGAAAATAATCGTAAAGATGTCATAAGTTGGACCGAAGACGGGAGGATAGAGAGAGAGAGAGAGAGAGAGAGAGAGAGAAATCGGGATTGGAAGACGAGAAATTGCGGATGGAACGAAGCACGGAAAAGAAGCAACCGAACAGGAAAGAAGTGACGGATTGATGCCCGGCCTCTTGCCAAATGGAGCCAATCACGGCAACGTGACTTTACGTTCTTTCCCTATTTCCCCCGTCCGTTCTTGATGACTTTTCAGTGCGACTCGTTCGTTTGTGCTTCATTCATTCTTCCCGCCATTCCTTGGTTGTTATCATTATTGTTATTGTTATGACCATGGGAGTCGTTGTGCCATTACTTCTGCCCTTCCACCAGATATTTGTCTCCCCATCCCGATGGCACAGCGTCCATATGGTCCCATGACGATCCTCCTGATGACACAGACACACCGACAACAACACCGAATAACGGACACATAACTTCAACTGGGAGGCAAAATCAAAGAGAGAAACTTGATAGAGCGCGCAACACAAAAGCCGGTGAGAAACTTCTCCATCAAGTCTATACATCCCAAATCTCCTGCCGCATGCCCAGGCAAATCCTGGCATCACCTGCATTGCATGACATAACCTAGCATGATCTCTGTTTACATTTTCAATTTCATTCAATCCATGGAAAACCAGCCAAGCCAATGGACGATCTAAGAATGGAAATTCCTTGGTTTTTTTCCCCCTAAACCTGAGTGAGCGCCAGGGATTGAGTAAGTGAGTGAGCCCTTCCCATATGGCAAAGAGCCCGGGCGGATTCTGGTTGGTCCTCTACAATACACACCGCGGTACAGTAGTACTTAGTGCTGATGTGCTGATGCTGGGATAATAACTGTGGTTCTTCGGGACAGGCAGGCAACACCTCTCCTCGGCCCCGAAGAGCATGATCGCGCAGAAATGCTGAATTGTCAAACTACCCAATGGGTAATGGTACATACGTACGTACGTACGTATACGTGCCGACGCTCTGTTTCCCACTCGTGGCTGCCACGAAGGCCACAGGGTTAATTTTTTTTCTTTTTCTTTCAATTTGATCATTTCCACCGACAAAACTCCGTGACGATATACCAGCTATGTATGTAGTATTTCGACCAACTCTGCCCACCAGATGTTTCTCTTGAGAGCTTCAGAAAACACTGGCCAACCTACGGAGTAGAGGCAGCCAAACCGAGGGAGAGATGTGCATTCTTTTCCACATCTTGCAGATCAAGAAGACGAATACACTTCCTTCCGGACATCGACCGATGCTCGTCGACACGGAGTGCCATAACTCCGAGACCCGTGACCAAGGGGACAACAACAAATATGCGAAAACCGGAGTGATCTCGAGTCAAATCGGCTACTACTCGTCAGAAGTCCAGCTGAGAACCCCGGAATAAGCAAACAGAGGCGGCTAATCACAAAAAAGATCTCATACAAATATTTCTCTCAACGAGCAAGTAGACAGGTCAGGTATGGATACGAAGATCGATGGTTCTTCTTTCTATGTATGCAATAAGACGGAAAAGGGAAGGGGATATCTTGTTAGAACAATGATTGAGGCAATAACGTAGTATACTACAGTCACTTAGGGTCAACCAATAGAAATTCCCGAGTTGCCTTATTCCAGCTGACCTGCTGCAAAGGAGAAAGTGTCTGTCCAGTCCAGTTTACAATTTTCGCCAAACCTCCTTATTATGATTCTCTTTTTTCCCCTCTTATAAAGAATGCCAGTAATTAGTAGTCTTAGCAATTGATAAGAAAAGACTAGAGCAGCCAGACTGGATGACGGTTGGCGGCGAGGTCCGGCTTCGGGTCTCATCTCACCTCCTGTCTTAGTAAAGTAGAAGTCTTTCTATATTGAGGCATTATGTATCGTACACGGAATCAGTGCCAATATCTTCATCGAAGCGAAGAAGGAAAATGTAGAATAAGTGAACAGCAACCGTAACTCCCAGCACACAGTCATGTAGATATGCACAAAATGACTGCCAGATACACACCCCGCCATATAGGCTCCTTGGAAATTCAAAAAGCAATGTTTCCACTTTCCCATCCCATGCCATCTCAGTCCCCAATTCTGTACAGATAGACCCAGCCGAGCTAGTATATGCACATGAAAAAACCCGCGAAATCGCTATGCACAGCTAGAAACCAGAAGAAGGAAAAAGTATACCACAAGGAGAAAGGACACCTCCCAGAAAGAAATGAAAAGCCGAGAGAAAAGAAGATCAAGCGGACCGAATCGCTTCGATAGCCGCATTGAGGGGAAACACCTGAGGAAGGCGTTGCGAAGGATAGCCCGGGATCCACTTTCGGAACGCAGTGCTACAAGACTCCGGAACTCCTCCGAGGGCGACAAAGCTCTTCGGAATGAAGGGTCGGTCTTGAAGCGATGCGGTGAGAATTCCATATTCATGCGCAAGGACCACCGCAGATGCGAACTCGGCGGGTCGGTTGGAAGCTTGGTCGCCCACGATCCTAATCAAGGGAAGAATGTTAGCAGTCGGGCGGTGAGAACAGGAAACGGGCACATACACATAGATCTCGAAAAAGGTATCAAGAACATAGACTCCCTTGGCAGTAATGTCCTTGAGGCAGAATGGCTCGATTTCCTGGACAGTGTCATTGGGCCGGATAACCGGAGAAGGCGAGCCTGAGCGACGCAGCCAGAACCCTGAACGTTGGCCGAGCTCGTGGTCGATACGGAAAAGCCGCGACCGATATCGCTCGTGGTTGGGTTTCACACGCCAGTAGTCGGTGCTGGTATCACCTGTGTCTCGTTCCCAGTGGGGGAAGACTTCGAAGAAGCTCTCTGGCTCCTCACCCTCAGCCACTTCCTCAAATTCACCGGTTAGCCCAAGGTCCATGCCAATCAGGCGCGCAGCACCAATCTCTTCGGCGGAGCTGCCCTTGCCCTTCCAGAGAAAGAGCTTGCCGAACATCGCAGAGATCACAAAGGGGTAGCCGGAGCTCAGATTGCTTGGCGAGAAGCTGACTTCATCGAAGACCATCTGACCCAAATGCTTGCGCCCGCAGAGCATGAAGATGGCGGAGGAGCTAGAGCGAGAACTCAAGCCGCGGCGAGTAATGAGAATGCCCCCCAAAGCTTGAATGAACCGAGCGGGTTCCTTGCCCTGCTTGATAATCTCCAGCTTGGACCCATTATCCTTGGCGACTTTGCGAGAGAAAGCCTGCGCATCATCGACTGCGGAGTCGGGGACATCATCACCACACCAGAGGTGCACTTCAGAGCGTACAGTGCCATCAGCCTCAAAAAGATGCACGCAGAGGTACATGCTTCCTTCATATAAGATGTATTCCTGGTTGACAGGAAGATCCTGCTTCTTTCCATCTCCTGTAATCTCCCACAACTGTCTCTTCAAAGTCCTGATCTTGGCATTGTCGCTCTTATCTGCTAGCATCAACTGCGTATCGATGTTGACACGGTCGCTCGATTTCGGGAAGGTCTTGAAGAAATCAGATATGGCTTCCCAAGATTCATCGGCCTGAGGTACAAGAGAGGTTGAAGATCTCGAGGAGAAGCGGTCAACAGAGGCCCTGGACCCCTTAGGAGGAACCGGAGGAGAAGGCAAAGCTTTATCCCGTGGCGACGAGTTGCGTGAACCTATGGTGGAAAAGAGTGAGGACGCGGACCTCTGTTGTGTTGGATGAGTATAACTCTGGTTGTCCTTGAAGCTTGCCCTCCAAGGCGAAGGAGAGGGTGAAGAAAAGTGAGTTGGCGAAGCCCGTGTCTGGTTAGAAACAGGTGTTGCTGGCAGTGGGGCTGTTTTCGGTGGCAAGGGAGGCTTTGCCGAGAGTGAGCTTCGTATACTCTTGAAGTATGCGCTGGCATTCTCTCGGATATTGGTAGCAGTTTGATCCAACACTGTTGAGGGTTTAGGGCTTGTGTCATCGGGCTTCTGCGGGGTCTCTCTCTCTATCAAACGAGGGATGCTCCTCTTGAATTCAGTCGGCTTGCTTGTTGCTGGCGTGTCAAGCTGACTCGGGCTCGCTTGCGGTTCGTCATTGGATTTGACTTCAGTATTAGGAAGGGGCCAGCCGCCGGAGGCTCCCGCAGGACTGCCAATGGGTGAGACGGGTGCTTCTGACCTCTGTGCGTCCAAAGTAGATGCTGGAGATTTCGGGATCGCCTCGGGTACTTCTGACGTAGAGTTGGGAAGCTCGAACTCTGCATCCAATGATGGAGACTTCACAGTACCAATGTTGTCGACCGAGGTTGGGCGTGCAGGTGCTGGCTCGTGTGCAACCGAAAGGTCTGATGGAGAGTTCGGTACTGCATCACCCGCCTCAGGAGCTGGATTTCTGGTTTCGGGTTCTTCTGCTTTTGGCGAAGGGGGGCTCAAAACACCATTCTTCTCTTCTGCGGCAGAAACCATGGGCTCGGGAACGTGCGCATCCAAAGAGGCCGATGGGGGCTCGTCCACCCCAAATATTGACGATGGAGGCCTATTCTCGTCCTCACTGGCCGACATCTCCTGGGCCTCATCAGTCTCGTCGTAAACCGGGCTTGTAGCTTCAGTCTCTATGGTATGCATATGGACCGGTGACGGTGGTACATAAGTTTTCCTTTCCAAGATCGGGCTTGTAACTTCGAGTGTTGCCTCTTCCGCCTGTCCTGGCAGTCCTGAGGCGTCAGGGCTCTCGAGAGCTAGGTTTGTAGCCTCAGATTTCTCGCCATCCGCAAGAGCTAAATGCTCAGGCTCATAAATGCTCCTTTCTCGGACTGGGATCGCAGGCTTGGCCTCTTCATTTTCCAAAAGAGTCGAGAAATCCGGCGCTCCATTGGCTTTATCTTGGTTCGGGCTCGTAGCATCAAGACCACTCATACCTGCAGGTGCATTGAGCACCGGTGCAGTGTGAACTTCTTCCTGGACTGGGCTCACAAGCTCAGGTTCATCTTTACAAAAAGACGCTGAGGCAACCGGTGCACCATTGATTTCCTCCTGGATTGGGCTTGCAGGTTCAGACTTCTTCTTACTCATAAGTGCTGGGGGCACTAGTGCATCACTGTTCTCCTCGTAGGTTAAGTAGGCAGGTGTGGCTTCCTTTACCAGGGGCGCCGAGAGCTTTGTCGCCGGATTGACTTCGTGTATCGGGCTCACGGGTTCAGGTTTATCGTTATCCACTGGGTCGGAAATTACCGGTGCATTGTGGACTTCTTCCTGGAGTGGGCTCGCAGGCTCAGGTAGACCATTATCAACAGGCGCTGAAACCACCGGTACATCATTTATATCTTCTCGAATCGGGCTGGCAGGCTCAGGTTCATCCTTTTCCGCTGGTGTATCGAGGACTGCCTCTTGCAGTGGGCTTGCGGGCTCAAGTTCGTCTGAGACCACCGGTATATCGTTCACCTCCACGCGGATCGGGCTCGCGGGCACGGTTTCGGTTTTATCGGCTGGTGCTGAGAGCACTGGAACATCGTGGACTTCTGCCCGGGGTGGGCTCGCAGGCCCACATTCATCCTTATCAATAGGCGCTGAAACCATGGGTGCATCGTTCTCTT